ACAGACGCGGAGCACAAATGGCACCGGGAGAGGGGTTCGGGACATCACAGCGACATCAGCGTTCCCCGAGCGGGGACTCCGCACCCCGCGGGCTCCCGGCCACCCTGAGCGGGGGACACCGGACCCGGAGGGTCCCCGCACCCTCGGTCACTCAGCCCGGGGGGCGGAGAAGCTCCGGTCCCGCTCTGCAGCGTCTGCTCCGGGATCCCCTTTGGCGGCTGCATCCCCGCTGCGCTGGAGACTGGGCTGAGGAGGATGAGGGAGGGGAGGAAGCAGCAAGTGCCCGGCCCTGGGGACGTGTCACCGTGCGCTGTCCCCTGTCCCGTCACTGTCCCCGGGCCAAGCACAAGGGGAGGCTGCAGGGATGGGATGGGATGGGATGGGATGGGGCAGAGGTGGAACAGTGAGAAGGGTGAAGCAGGAGCAGGGATGGGATGGAGCAGGGATGGGATGGAGCAGGGAAAGGGAGGGAGCAGCTGTAGGAAAGGAGAGGGGACAGGGAAGGGCACGTGTGGAGCAGAGCCGGGGTGGGGATGGATCTGGGATGGGAATGGAGGTGGGATGGGGATGGGGATGGAGCTGGGATGGTGGAACTGGGATGGGGTCAGATAGAAGGATGCAGCAGCAGCAGCAGGAGGAGGAGGAGGATGGGGAAAGAGCCAAGCCTCACTGCCGGGGGTGACACGGACAAACGGGACACTGGGAGCTGCTGGATGTGTCCATGTGGGGAAGGTCCCTGCCAGGTCCCCTCTCCCCGAGGTCCCCTGGGATTCCCCCCAAAATCCCGCACCCATGGGTGCCTGTGGGGGCTCTCCCACGCCGTGAGCCCCGGGACGGGGAGGATTTGGGGTCTCTGAGCTGCTCCCACGGCCTCGCCCCTGCCAGGGGCTGCCGGGCACCGCGGCCATGACACACTCCCGGCTTTATTCCCAGCGGCGGCACAAAAACAGCAAAACAGCAAAACGGCCTCTGCCGGATACCGGCGCCATGGGAACGGGGACACCGCGGCACAGGGACACCGCGGCACAGGGACACCGCGGGAACAGGGACACGGACACCATGGCAGCAGGGACACCGCGGGAACGGGGACACCATGGCAGCGGGGACACCGTGGCACAGGGACACCGCGGGAACAGGGACACGGACACCATGGCAGCAGGGACACCGCGGGAACGGGGACACCATGGCAGCGGGGACACCACGGCATGGGGACATTGTGGGAAAAGGGACACTGTAGCAACAGGGACACCGTGGCAGTGGGGACACCACGGCAGCAGGGACACTGTGGCAGTGGGAACCGGGACACTGTGGGAACAGACACCATGGGTACAGGGACACGGCGGCACGGGGACACCACGGCATGGGGACATTGTGGGAAAAGGGACACTGTAGGAACAGCGACGCCGTGGCAGTGGGGACACCACAGCATTGGGGACATTGGGGACATTGTGGCATCAGGGACACCACGGCAGTGGGGACATTGGGGACATTGTGGCATCAGGGACACCACGGCAGTGGGGACATCATGGCATGGGGACACTGTAGGAACAGGGACACTGTGACAGTGGGGACACCATGACACGGGGACACCATGGCAGCAGGGGCACCGTGGCACGGGGACACTTTGGGAATAGGGACATTGTGGCAGTGGGGAAACCATGGCAGTGGGGACAGGGAACACTGTGGGAACAGGGACACCACAGCATGGGGACATTGTGGGAATACGGACACTGTAGCAGTGGGGACACCATGGCAGCAGGGACACTGTGGCAGTGAGGACATTGTGGCATGGGGACACTTGTGGTAACAGGACACTGGGGACACTGTAGGAACAGGGACACTGTGGCAGTGGGGACACTGTGGTAACAGGGTCACTGTAGGAACAGGGACACTATGAACAGGACACCATGGGAACAGAGACACCATGGCAGCGGGAGGGCAGCAGCAGCAATGTGTCCTCTGCTGTCCCCGGGATGGTCCCTCACTGGGCTTTGCTGTAGGGGACATCCCCGGCCCCAGAGGCTGGCAGAGGGGACAGGCTGGGGAAGGACAGTGGCACAGCACTGGGGACTCTTGGAGAGCTGGAACAGCGCCCCCTGACTCCCACCCAAGGCAGGGGTGCAGAACACGGGGTGTAGAACATGGGGTGCAGAACATGGGGTGGAAAAACAAAAAACTTTTCCCAAAAAACACCCAAAGTCCCTCCCCAGCGGGTCCCCAGAGGAGACCTCACACCCCCAGGCTGATGTCCCCACCCCAAGGGGGCTCCACATCAGAATCTGGCAACCTTGGATCCCCCATTGCCCTTCCCACCATCCTGCCCTGGGCAGCTTTGGGAAATGCAGCAGGAACAGCTCCACCCCAGGCAAACCAGCCCTGAAAGTCTGGGGGGACTCATCCCACCTCCTCAGGGCCGGGCTCACTCCCAGCGGAGCCAGAGGGAATTCAAGGGGCCCAGGAAGTCGCCGGTGCAAGTTTATAAAAGCTTTTATTTGCTCTTGGTACGACCAAGAATGGGACAGTGATCTTTTATACAATTTGATACAGTAAGTGGTACAAAAGAATGTGTTTTAAATAAAAAGCCAGAGTGGAGTAGCAAAAATATTAAAAGATTAAGTAAAAAATTGTCGGCATGGGAATTAATCCAAGACCTTGATGCTGTTTTATTTCCACCGTCCGAGGGCACGAAGCGCCGCGGCCACCCCGGCGCGCGACACGGCCGCGGGGCAGAGCCGAGCTCGGGTTTGGTTTAGCAGGACCGATTTCATGGTTTAACTCTTGGTTTTGGTGACCAAAGGGCAGCGCCGAGCTCCCTCCGGGGGCACGGAGGGGCTGCTGACACCTCCCGCTGCCCTTCTCTACTCCACAGGGCTGGGCTGGGTTCCAAGCAGAGGTTTCACAAGCAGTTAGTCTGGAACGAGCAGGGAGTTGAGATACCAGCAGACATCAAGTTACTGCAGACTCCTCCGACATCATCGTTATTATTAATATTATTATTATTAATTTTAGGGGTTTTTTTATCTGTTTCAGCATCGTGCTGCTCCCTCCTCCCGGCCCTGCAGCTGGAGCTTGGACAGGAACAGAAATAGACCCGATAGAAACAGCTCAGTTTTACTGACGGGGAGGGAGGGAGGGACGAGGGGCCGGCGTTGGCAGCGAGTGGCACCAGCGAGTGGCACCAGCGAGTGGCCTGGGCTCCACCTGTGCCTGCAGCGGGCACAGCATCTACAAAGGGGGCACACACAGGGAGCCGAGCCCCTGCAAGCAAATAAAAAGCTCACGTTTAAAACAAGGATTATACAAAAAGAAAAACCACCCTTGATGTAGATTTTGCCATTTTTTCCCTTTTTGATCACGTTAGAAAGTGCAGATTTAGCCGAAAGTGGCCGGACTCTGTACAACGCTGAGCCCGAGCTCACCAGCCATCGCCTGGGAAGGGTTAACACACACGTTGGGGACAAAATGCCAAATACAGAGGGACGGGGGGACACCTCGGTGAGGAGCCGCTCCGGACCAGGAGTTCCGTGTTAAAACACCGTCATTTCATTAGAATTCACTCAGCGTTAGCGGCTGCGGCGAGGGCGGAGCGGAGCCAGTGCCGGTGCCAGTGCCGGTGCCAGTGCCGGTGCCGGTGCCAGTGCCGGTGCCAGTGCCGGTGCCAAGGCCGCGGCCGGAGCCAGGCACAGGCGGGGCCCAGGGGCTCAGGGCGGCTGCCGAGTGTCCTCCCCGCCGGGACCGGGCTCGGGGCCGGGTTTGGAGCCGGGATTCACCGCCGGGGATTCACCGCTGGCGATCCACGCGGGGCAGCGGCCGCGCAGGGCGAGCGCTCGGTGCCAGGCCCCTCCTGCGGCAGGACAGGGCCAGCAGGGCCGGTGACAGCGGCAGGGCAGGGCCAGCAGCGCTGGTGACAGCGGCAGGAGTGGCAGGGCAGGGCTGGTGACAGCGGCAGGACAGGGCCAGCAGGGCCGGTGACAGCGCAGGAGCGATGGAAAGGCTGCTGCTCCATCCTGGTGGGAGCTGCCCCGCAGGGATCCGGAGCGGGGCCGCTGCGGACACTGGAACGTGGAAAGTTTCCAGGGAGGTAATAAATTAAACTGCCCTCTGGCTGGTTTGTTTCCTTTCCTTTCCTTTCCTTTCCTTCTCTTTCCATCCAGTTCCGCTCGGGCTCGGGCCGGCCCCGCAGCCCTCGGGGACAGAAGCTGGGAGCTCGTGTTAATGAACTGCTGTCAGTTTGGGGATCCATGTTATATTCATACACAGAAAGTAGACAACCACATCACCCTCCATAGAAACTAGTGCATGCAAATAACTCTTCCATATGGGGGGAAAGGCCGGGGCTACGCGGGAGGAAGAGGAGGAGGAGGAGGAGGAGGAGGAGGAGGAGGGAACCACTAGTGACGGACAGGCCTAGGGGGGTTAGTAGGAATCTCAACATTTTTACCTCGGAAGCTAAATCAGTGCTTTGTATTAAATTTTTGGCAAACACACCGCGTTGCCATCCTTTCCATTAACACATCACACCATGGAGAAATGCAAATCAAAGCAGCATGCAGGCAAAAAAAAAAAAAAAAGAAAGAAAGAAAAAAAAAGAAATAAAGGAAAGAGCGGCAAAGTGAGAGAAAAAAAATGGCAGCAGGAAGAGTTGGGAACGGCGGGATTGGCAAAAGGAGACACAGCAGGTTACATGGAGTTTGCTTTTGTTTTGCACCACCCTTTGTCCTCGATGCATGACACCAACGTTACAGAAAGCAACCACTACAGAGGTCAGGACTCAATGGCACAGGGGGGATGGGATGTCTCCTGCACATGCTTCCACCAGAAAACAGAAAAGAAAGTGAAAATAAAAGTTCCTTTTTCCACATAAGGCACAGGACAAAGAAACCCCACTCACGGACTCAAGGCGAAAATGAGTTTTTCCTGGCTCTTGCCTGATGCATCTAGAGAATATGGTGACTCAAGCACATGATCCATGACAGAAAATTCCACTGTTGTACAAAATCAATTGTTAATTCTAACCTTTATTCTTATACAATTTGCAGAAGAGAGTTGAGTATGATTGCTCTGGGGTTTAATGGCAGGAGGGACGGGACTATAATACAACCCAAACGTAGTGGTGAGCTGAGCAGGGACATGGAAATGAAGTCACGGAGATGAATTTCCTATACATGTGTTGAGAAAACTGGAGTAGGCAAAGCTGTCCTAGCCAGAAAACCAAGGGGAGGCAGGAGCTCGTTAAGATGAGGAACAAAACCATTGGTTTCAGGTTAAAAAATGGGCAGAGTGGTTTGTTTTGCAGCGAGAAAAAAGGGGCGGTGGATGGCGATTGGTGAGAGAGGAGAAGGTTCAGCAGCACTTGCTCTTCCAGCCCGTCACCCCACTGCCACTGCTGATATCTACATTTTCACTGTTGGGCTCTTTTACAGGGGTCTGCAAGGAAACAAGTGAACACAGTTAGCTGGCCCTGGAGATCCCCCAGGAAAACACCCAGAGCTGGGGCTGGCATCACCAGAGGGAACTGAGATCAACTGTGCACAAAGAGTCCTCAGAAAGGCAGGAATCCTCCCCCCGCTCCAGCACAAATGTGCAGAACCAATTTAAGGGTTTTTTCTGTTGTTTGGTTTGTTTTAAATAAATCTAAAGCTGGGAAAAAACCCAGTGCTTGAAGTGGGACCACCCCAAAGTCAACTGGAACTGGTTTAGAGCCAACGCCGGGTTTGGTGGGGTAAGGAAATCCCAGCCTGCAAACACCACAAGCTGAACTCACATGTTGTGAACTAATGACCTCCAAAACCCAGAGTTTTTATGGATAAACTGGGCTTGTTGCCAGCCTCTGCTCCCTGCTCCTGGGACAGCAGCTCCCAAGGAGGGACACACAAGCTCCTCCTTGTCACAGGACGGAACCTGGTGACACCAAAGCCAAAACCCCACTCCAGTGGGTTTGATCCAACACCAACATCTACTTCCAGCTGGCTGGAAAGGAACCCAAACCTTCACCACAACTCACTCTACACATTCCTAACTCTCTTTGTCACAGCCTTGCCAAAGAACCTCCAGGATAATGACAGAGGCCAAAAATGAAGATTTAAGGTCCAAAGGCTGGTATGGTTTGCAGTCTGACCTCCTGTTCACCAAAGGCCAGGGTTTTTCAACCCATTTATCACACAAAGCTTGTCAGAAACTGATTAAGAAATGACTGAGGACTGCAGTGACAACTGGGTGACATTATCCACAGAATTATCACACAGGAGACGAAGGCAGGGCTGAGACAGGCTTGGGATGGGGTTAATTTATGGAGGAACAGGAAGAGGACAAGGAACAACAAGGGCCAGGGCTGGCCAACCCATGTGTCTGGAGCTCCACAGAGTTCCCATGAGCTGCTCCTAGGCAGGAATGTTCCAGCACAGGGGTTTGTGTGTACACTGAGCCCTTGGCCAGGGGAGAACATCCCACAGAAATGGTCCAAAAATGGTTCCTGTGTGCACTGAGCCCTTGGCCAGGGGAGTACATCCCACAGAAATGGTCCCAGAGCCACACAGGGATCCAGCCCAGCTCAGTACTGGAACACCTCAGTGGCACCTGCAGGAATCTGACGGATTTTGTACTCCTGACAGAGTTAGGGCCACAGGATCAGCAGCTCTGGGCACATAGGGAGCTGCTACAGGGCACGGACACAACCCAGGGTGGCAGCAGGGCCAGGGCAGTGCCCGTCCCCTGTGCTGGCACTGCTGGGGCCCCTCCAGTGCTGGGGCAGCTCTGGGCCCCTCCTGACAGGAGAGACCTGGAGGGGCTGGAGCGTGTCCAGGGAAGGGAATGGAGCTGGGAAGGGAATGGAGCCCCAGGAGAGGCTGAGGGAGCTGGGAAGGGAATGGAGCCCCAGGAGGGGCTGAGGGAGCTGGGAAGGGAATGGAGCCCCAGGAGGGGCTGAGGGAGCTGGGAAGGGAATGGAGCCCCAGGAGGGGCTGAGGGAGCTGGGAAGGGAATGGAGCCCCAGGAGGGGCTGAGGGAGCTGGGAAGGGAATGGAGCCCCAGGAGAGGCTGAGGGAGCTGGGAAGGGGCTCAGCCTGGAGAAAAGGAGGCTCAGGGGGGACCTTGTGGCTCTGCACAAGTCCCTGACAGGAGGGGACAGCCAGGGGACAGGGACAGGACAAGGGAAATGGCCCAGGCTGGGCCAGGAGGGTTTAGATTGGATATAGGGAACAATTTCTTGCTAGGAAAGCTGTCCATCCCTGGAGGGATCTAAAAGCCCTGTGGATGTGGCACTTGGGGACATGGATCAGTGGTGGCTCTGGCATGGGGGGGGATTTGACTTGGTGCTCTCAGCTTTTCCAGCCTCACTGATTCCATGGTTCGTTGGTTCACTGCACCACACAGGAAGAGGAGCCAACCACCAGATGATGTGGGGCAATGGAACCCCCAAGGAAGTGCCATGGCTGGGAGCACAGCTGGGAGTGGCAGAGCTCGTTCCTGCCCCACCCTCCACACCTGAACTCCTCCCAACAGCCCCCCAAGAGCTGTCAGTGCACAGACACAGTGGCAGGAAAGGAGAATTCTCTCCATGAGCTGTCAGAGCACTGACAGACACAGACAGGAAAGGACAATTCTCTCCACACCAATGGAAACATTTAACTCCAGCACAGGCACAACAACCAGGAGTGTAAGGCCCAAACAAACAGGAATTTCAGTTCCTTGGCTCTGATGGATATTAGTCCCTGTAGGCAGGCCCCCTACAACAACAAAACATCAAACAAACTGCAGAAGTTCAGCCCTGCTCCTTCAGGGACTGCTTTGCCTCAGCACAGTAAAGTCAAAGTGCAACAACACAGGTGAAGATCACAACAGGAGAGCTGGAAATTCAGGATATTTGTTCCCAAGGAATGCTGTGAGCACCTACCTTTCGAAGAATGTCTTCTGCTAATGTGAGGAATGCCTTCTCAATGTTTATATTTGCTTTTGCACTAGTTTCAAAAAACCTAATACCGTGCTCCCTGGCAATCTGCAGCAAACAGAGAGAGGGAGGTTAGAGAGGCTGGGCACGTTCCAGCAGTGCCATCACCACTTTGGGATCAGCAGCTTCTATAAAGCAGGGAATACTGGGCTGGACATGAAGCCAGGGGTGCCAACAGCCCCTGGGCTGTGCCAGGTCTGGGGGGGCAGCAGGGCCAGGGCAGTGCCCGTCCCCTGTGCTGGCACTGCTGGGGCACCTCCAGTGCTGGGGGCAGCTCTGGGCCCCTCCTGACAGGAGAGACCTGGAGGGGCTGGAGCGTGTCCAGGGAAGGGAACGGAGCTGGGAAGGGAATGGAGCCCCAGGAGGGGCTGAGGGAGCTGGGAAGGGAATGGAGCCCCAGGAGGGGCTGAGGGAGCTGGGAAGGGGCTCAGCCTGGAGAAAAGGAGGCTCAGGGGGGACCTTGTGGCTCTGCACAAGTCCCTGACAGGAGGGGACAGCCAGGGGACAGGGACAGGACAAGGGGAAATGGCCTCAGGCTGGGCCAGGGCAGGCTCAGGGTGGACATCAGGAGGAATTTCTGCATGGAAAGGGGGCTCAGGCCTTGGCAGGGGCTGCCCAGGGAGGTTTGCAGTGCCCATCCCTGCAGGTGTCACCTGCATGTGGCACTGAGTGCCCTGGGCTGGGCACAAGGTGGGCATTGGGCACAGGTTGGACTCAGTGTCTGTGAGCTCTTCCCCAACCTCAGGGATTCTGTGTCTCTATTCCAACTGGCACCAGCAGCACCAGCCAGGTGAGGTGGCTCAGAAGATTCAGAATGTCACAATCCAGAACAATTAAAATCTACTAAATAATCCCCAGTGTGTGTCTGGGCTAAGGGGACAGACACCACACACTGTGACACTGTGAGGAACTTCAGGGATGTCTGGGAATTTTGAGTTATCAAAGGAAGCAGAAACTGCAGCTGAGCTCACCCCATTCATGGCACTTTCTGAGCAAACATTCCCAGGATTCACATCCATCAGCTCCTGCTTTCATTCCCTGGCACACCCCACTGGGGCATCCCAACCCCCTGGAGCAGGCAGAAGTCTTGGCAGTGATTTGCTGACTTGGATAAAGAAGTTTTTGTTTGCTACTCACCTGTTCACCTTTTGCTTTAGGGACAACTCTTTTATCTTCCATGTCACACTTGTTTCCTAACAGCATCCTCTCCACATCCTCATTGGCATGCTGGAAGGACACAGGGACAGGGTTACGGGGTCACACATGTCCCTCTCACACCCTAAATACCTGCTTCACTTTGGTGTGGCCAGGCCACCACCTGCACCTGCAATCTGGGGACATTTACAGCTGCCCTCAATGGAGCTCCATGCACTGCAGAGGCAGAGGAACAAGCTGTTAATTAACCCCAGCCTCTAATGACTTCCTAGCACTGGTTAATGGTTGTTTCCCTCTCCACTTTGTCACTGCACAATGTGAGGGATGAGCCAGCGGAGAAAAAGGGATTGGGGAGGAAAACAGGGGCAGGACCCAAAGACAGAAATGAGAGAAGGGAAGCAGAAACCAGAGTGGGGCAGGGTCTCCAAAGGGAGAGGTGGGGAGGGGTTGGTGTTTCCTCAAGGTGTGGGGCAGGAGGATGCAGTGCCAGCCTGGCAGGGATGAGGAATCCCAGATTCAGCCCAGATCCATTCCCTGCAGCACAGGCCTCTCTGGAGGGGGAATATGGATCATTTCTCATCAGTCCTGGGGAGCTGGGGAGGTCCTGTCCCCCTGCAGGTTGGCCAGCACTGCCCCATGTCCCCAAGTGCCACATCCACACAGCTTTTAAATCCCTCGGGGGACTTTACCCCTGCCTGGGCAGCTGGTAGGGAATTATGATGATGCCAGGTTCCAAGAATTACTGAAGGAGAATCCAGGAACTCCAGGAGCTGGGGAAGGTCCTGGAGCAGGTCACCTGGGCTGTGGTCACACACATCAGTGCAGGACAAGCAGGGGATCAGGCCCAGCCAGTCTGGCTTTGTGACAGGTCCTTCTTGACCACCCTGATCTCCTCCTGTGACACTGTGACCTTAATGGAGGAGGGAAAGGCTGTGGGTGCATCTGCCTGGGCTTTGCTGAAGCCTTTGGCACCTTCTCCCATGGCATTCTCCTGGAGAAACTGGCTGGTCCTGCCTTGGATGGACGCACACTGCTGGCATAAAGCTGGGCATGGAGGCACATCCAGCTGGGCACGGGCACCAGGGGCTCAGGGCTGGCTCAGGGCTGCCCAACACCCTCAGGGCATGGAGGGCACCAGCCTGGCTCAGCTCAGGCACAGCCCCAGGGGTGGGATGTGGAGCTGCTGGGGGTTCTGCAGAGGGAGCAGGACAGCCTGGATCCATGGGCTGAGGGACAACAGGGGTGAGGGACAAACTGTTTTATCGTTTTCATGTGAATTTTTTTGACTTAATGACCAATCACAGCCAGCTGTGTCAGGACTCTGGAGAGACTCAAGAGTTTTTAATTAGTATCTTTTAAACCTTTTGTAAGTATCCTTTCTCTATACTTTAGTATAGTTTAGTATAGCATAATATAATATAATATAATATAATATAATATAATGTAATGTAATGTAATGTAATGTAATGTAATGTAATATAATATAATATAATATAATATAATATAATATAATATAATGTAATATAATATAATATCATTAAATAATAAATTAGCCCTCTAAGAACATGGAGTAAGATTCATCATTCCTTCCTCCTCTGATGGGGGACCCTGAAAACACCACAAACAGGAGCTCAGGTTTGGGATGTCTGGCTCAGGTTTGGCTCATGCCTGGCTCAGGTTTGGGGTGTCTGGCTCAGGTTTGGGGTGTCTGGCTCAGGTGTGGGATGTCTGGCTCATGTTTGGAGATGCCTGGCTCACATTTGGGGATGCCTGGCCCCGGTTTGGGGTGTCTGGCTCAGGTTTGGGATGTCTGGCTCAGGTTTAGGGATGTCTGGCTCATGTTTGGCTCATGTTTGGAGATGTCTGGCCCTGGTTTGGGGATGCCTGGCTCACACTTGGGGTGTCTGGCTCAGGTTTGGCTCATATCTGGCCCAGTTTGGGGTGTCTGGCCCCGGTTTGGGGATGCCTGGCTCACACTTGGGGTGTCTGGCCCAGTTTGGGGTGTCTGGCTCAGGTTTGGCTCAGGTTTGGGGATGCCTGGCTCACACTTGGGGTGTCTGGCCCAGGTTGGGGTGTCTGGCTCAGGTTTAGGGATGTCTGGCTCATGTTTGGCTCAGGTTTGGGGGTGTCTGGCCCCGGTTTGGGGATGCCTGGCTCACACTTGGGGTGTCTGGCCCAGTTTGGGGTGTCTGGCTCAGGTTTGGGGATGCCTGGCTCACACTTGGGGTGTCTGGCCCAGTTTGGGGTGTCTGGCTCAGGTTTGGGGATGCCTGGCTCACACTTGGGGTGTCTGGCCCAGTTTGGGGTGTCTGGCTCATGTTTGGCTCAGGTTTGGGGGTGTCTGGCCCCGGTTTGGGGTGTCTGGCTCACATTTGGGGTGCCTGGCCAGGCGTTGGCACTCACCTCGTCGATGTTCCTGAGCCACTTGCTGATGTTCTCGAAGCTCTTGGCGTTGGTGATGTCGTACACCAGCATGATGCCCATGGCCCCCCGGTAGTAGGAGGTGGTGATGGTGTGGAAGCGCTCCTGCCCCGCCGTGTCCCTGCCGAGACACCACAGTTGTGTCACTGCCACGGACAAGCTACGTGGTTTTATGGAGAACAGTTTGATTTTTTCATAGTTTTATTTTTTAATTTAAATTTTAAATATTTTGATTTTAAAATTTTAATTGTTAACGTTTTTATTTACATGGTTTTGATAAATTAAAAATTTAAATACTTTTAATAATTTTAAAATTGTTATTTACGTTCTTTTAATGTAATTGAAAATATTTTTATTTACATACCTTCAATATAATTAAAAAAATATTTACATAGTTCTAATGCAATAAAAATTATTTAAATAATTTTAATATATTTAAAAAATTTTATTTACATGGTTGTAATATATTTTTAAAATTTTTATTTACCTAGTTTTACTATAATTTGAAAAATTTTTATTTAAATAGTTCCAATAAATTTTTAAAAATTTTATTTACAGTTTTAATAATGAAAAAAATAATTTACATAACTTCAATATAATTTAAAAAAATGTATTTCCATAGTTGAAATATAATTTTAAGAATTTTATTTACATAGTTTTAATACAATTTAAAACATTTTTTATTTACATAGTTTTAAGATAATTTAAAAAAATTAAATTTTAAAGTTTTTATTTACATGGTTCTAATATAATTTTAAAAAATTATTTACATTCTTTTAACATAATTTTTAAAATTTTATTTACATACTTATAATATAATTTTTTAAAAATTGATTTTTAAAAATTTTATTTACATCGTTATAATACATTTTTAAAAATTTATTTACATACTTTTAATAAGTTTTTATTTACATAGTTGTAATATGATTTAAAAATTATTTACATATAATAATTTATTATATGTAAATAATACACATATAATATACGTTTATTATTTACCTATAGTTTTATTATAATTTTAGTTTATATAGTTTTATATAATTTATAGTTACATAGTTTTATTATAATTTTAACCTTTTTATTTACATAGTGTTAAGGTATTTTTTAAAAATTAATTTTTAAATTTTTTATTTACATAGTTGTAATATAATTTTAAACTTTTTATTTACATAGCTTTAATATAATATTTTAAATTTTATTTAGAGTTTTAATAAATTTTAATTTTTTTCTTTATGTGTTTTTAATAAATTTCAAAAAATTTATTTATAGTTTTAATTTCTAAAATTTTTATTTACATAGTTTTGAGAAATTTTTTAAAAATTTATATCCATAATTTAAATATAATTTTAAAATATTTACATTGTTTTAATATAATTTTTAAAATTTTTATTTACATAGTGTTAATAATTGTTAAATTTTTTTTACATAGTTGAAATACATTTTTAAAATTTGTATTTAGTTTTAATATAATTTAAAATTATTTACATAGCTTTAGTAAATGTTAAATATTTTTATTTACATAGTTTTAATATAATTTAAAAATTATTTACATAGTTGTAATATAATTTTAATTTTTTTCTTTACTTTATTTTAATTTTTATTTATTTTATTTTTATTTTAATAGTTTACATTTATAGGAATACTAGAAGGTACTGTGTTTGAATTTAATATGTTAGTAATTTATTGAAACTTATTTTTTTTTATTTATTAATTTTTTTTAGGTAGTTTACATTTTTAGTTCTTTGGGAAGTAAGTGTTTTATATGTGGAGAGTTTTCTTTTTTTGTGGGTGTGAGTTGTTTTTTTATAAGAATAGATTGTTATGTAAATTGATTTTTATCTTTATTATTTTTATTTTAACAGGAACTTTTAAGGTTAGTTGTTAGTTTAGCTGAAATAGTAAGGCTCGATTTTGTAAGGTGTATTTTTAAATAATATTTTACTTATAAGTAACAACACATATGTCACAGATAGAGCAAGGTGAATCCACAGACAATAACCCAACATTTTCTGAGACTCACACTTAACCCTGACAGGAATTTTGTTCTCAGATCAGCCTGATAAAACTTTAATTTTTTTTTTTTTTTTTGTTTAACTTGATCCTGCAAATGTAAATTCTGCCATTTCTGATCAAAATCTGTGGAACATCACTCAAGCTGTGCTGTTAAATGTTGGTTTCTATGAGCAACATGCTGAAAACTGATCATAAACATCAGTGACAGCCTGGAATTCCCATCTCCTCCTGGGGTCTTTGGATGAGATGGGCTTAAAGAAACCTGGAAGGTGGGAATGAGCTGAATGTTGAGAATAAACTGGGATGAGATGGGCTTAAACCAACCTGGAAGGTGGGAATGAGCTGAATGTTGAGAATAAACTGGGATGAGATGTGGTTAAACCAACCTGGAAGGTGGGAATGAGCTGAATGTTGAGAATAAACTGGGATGAGATGTGGTTAAACCAACCTGGAAGGTGGGAATGAGCTGAATGTTGAGAATAAACTGGGATGAGATGGGCTTAAACCAACCTGGAAGTGGGAATGAGCTGAATATTGAGAATAAACTGGGATGAGATGGGCTTAAACCAACCTGGAAGTGGGAATGAGCTGAATATTGAGAATAAACTGGGATGAGATGGGCTTAAACCAACCTGGAAGTGGGAATGAGCTGAATGTTGAGAATAAACTGGGATGAGATGGGCTTAAACCAACCTGGAAGTGGGAATGAGCTGAATATTGAGAATAAACTGGGATGAGATGGGCTTAAACCAACCTGGAAGGTGGGAATGAGCTGAATGTTGAGAATAAACTGAGAATTAACATGAGAGATTTAACTGCACGTTGTGCAGGGTGTTTCAGAGGGCACAAACCCCAGAGACTGGAGCTTCACAGACATTGTTTCAGTGACATTGTTCATGTGACAAGGACATGGAGGCCATGGAGATGCTCCGGGCTGGAGCCAGGCTGGCAGAGCTGGGGGTGCTCACCTGGAGAGGAGAAGGATCCAGGGAGAGCTCAGAGCCCCTGGCAGGGCCTGAAGGGGCTCCAGGAGAGCTGCAGAGGGACTGGGGACAAGGATGGAGGGACAGGAGCCAGGGAATGGCTCCCAGTGCCAGAGGGCAGGGCTGGATGGGATCTTGGGAATAAGAAATTGTGCCCTGGCACAGGTGCCCAGAGCAGCTGGGGTTGCCCCTGAATCCCTGGCAGTGCCCAAGGCCAGGCTGGACAGGGCTTGGAGCACCCTGGGACAGTGGAAGGTGTCCCTGTGCACTGGATGAACTTTAAGGTCCCTTCCATCCCAAACCAGTCTGTGATTCAGTGATTCCATGACAAGGTAGACGCCAAGGTGTCCCCAGATTTAAACTGGTTTCACACTCAAGGTTCCACATTCCATAACCCCTCCAGAAAGGCCCAGTGTCCCCCTGACCCCCAGCTCCTGGCTCACAGCCCAGCACACTCAGGCACTGATGTCCCTCTGCTCCTGGGGACACCAGGACAAGGCCAAGGAGCACAGGAGGGGACAGGCAGGTCCCAAACCCCTCTGGCAAGGATGGCCCTGCCCTGGATCTCTGCCTGTGGCCTCAGGAGGTCCCTGACTCCACTCCCAGCTCCACAAACCACCCAGGGAATCCACACGGTGCCTGAAATGTGTGCTGTGCTTCTGGAACCTTCCCCAGCCTGCCCTGACTGAACAAAGGGCTCAGGTACAGCCCCAGCTCCCAGGGATCCCACACGGTGCCTGAAATGTGTGCTGTGCTTCTGGAACCTTCCCCAGCCTGCCCTGACTGAACAAAGGGCTCAGGTACAGCCCCAGCTCCCAGGGATCCCACACGGTGCCTGAAATGTGTGCTGTGCTTCTGGAACCTTCCCCAGCCTGCCCTGACTGAACAAAGGGCTCAGGTACAGCCCCAGCTCCCACTGGCCCTGGACTCTCCCCAATGCCCAGGAACACCCAGGACACCCAGCTGGAGCCTCACCAGCCCCACACTGGGACATTTCCAGGGTTACTCACCCCACTCCTGGCCCCAGGAGGAGCTCTGACATCCCACACTGAACTCCAGGACTTGGCATTTGGCTGCACTGAATTTCACAGGACTTTTTCCAGTGACATTTCTCCAGCTGGAATTGTTATTAGTTTAAATCCCCTCCTTGACTGGATTTAAACTTTACAGCTTCACCTTTTCTGGCTTATATTCCATGAAAGACCTAGAGTCTATCCCTTTGTCCTACCTGTTAACTCTTCCCTGGCAGGGTGGGCAGGCCGTGGCACAGCTGTGGCTGCCCCTGGATCCCTGGCAGTGCCCAAGGTCAGGCTGGACACTGGGAACACCCTGGGACAATGGGAGGTGTCCCTGCCATGGCAGGGGTGAGAACTGGATGAGCTTTAAGGTCCCTTCCTACTCAGACCATTCTGGGATTCCATGAAGTAATTTGGAGGAGTTTAATTATTTAATTGATGGCTTTCCTAGCATATCCCAAAGAGAGGGATCCTTCCCTTCACTCAGGACAAACTCCTGCAAATTATCTCCACTCACACCCTCATTATTTTCTCTCTCCCCACGTTCTGTAGCCCCTTGCCAGCACCTTCCCTCCCAATGGCTCCTACCAAGCTGGAGAAGCCTGACCAACCCCACCAACCCCAGACTTTTGGGATCTGTGATTCTCCCTCCTGTCACAGGAACAATTCTGAGTGCTTTTACACCAACCTGGAGTAGGCAGCACGGAGCTGCTACTCACTGCTTGTCACATCCTACAGCTGACTCCCTGGTTAACTCCTCCACTGCTTTTTCTGGCAGCTGGAGCTCAGCTAATGGAAGAGAAGAAAGCTGGGGAGGGAAGAAGCGAAGAACCTGGAGTGTTTGCATTTTTATTTTTTTTTAAAATAAATGCTATGGCTGCCCTTTCCCCTGGTTAATGGATTCTCCATTCATTATTCAGAGATAACTCCTAATGGCTGGAGATCAGAGCTGGCTGAGGCAAGAGGAAATGAGTTATGGTTGTGTGGGTGCCCACGAGGGCTGGATCCACCCTGGGCACACTGCAGCAGACACTGCAGGGGATGTTTGCTGCCCTGGCTCCCCAGCCCTTTGTTCAAACCTCGGTGTGGGCACAGACTGGCTCGCTCTC